CGTTCAGAAATGTCGAAAATATCTTCTACATAAAAACGAATTCTCACATAGTTCAGAAATATCCCAAACCTGAAATCCTTATAAAAATTTCAACTGTGAAATTAGTAACAACTAAACACGTCAAGTATCTGAGTGTATGGATCAATGATGACAGATTTACTATGGGAGATAAGGAAATTTTGCAAATGATACTTTGCGCTAAAGATGCATTTGTCCAATACGGTATGATGCTATAAAAACAAAATCCTGAAAACTCATGTTCTTAAATAACCTCATCAGATCTAAATTCGCATCAATGTCATGTACGGGGTCCAAATAATACATAACGTATCTTAAGACTATCTTCTACATAGAACTATATTATCACATTAAATATGAAAACGTCTTTAAACGAGGGCATCCCTTAGTTCTTAAAAAAAAAGATGATCTTTCACCAAACCCTATAGACTGGTACCACAGAATAACAAACACACTGTTTTACAAAATAACAAAAAAACACATCACTTGAACAATTTCCTTAGCAGCAAAAAAATAACGATATAAATAATGAAAATGTTTAATTTCCTTAAACCTATGAACAAATGGTTTGCAATGAAACGTTTTTCTTTACAGTGATATTCAGCCTGTAAAAGTCCTGGTAACTACTTAAGGTAGAGAGTTACAGAGTAAGAGGCACAGTTTATGCGGACGGAATGTTAACAGTTAACCCTAAACTTGAACAAGTTAAGATTGTAGTGATCGGGGAAGCATCCCCTTGGGAGTCGATCCCACAAAGAAGCGATTCGTATGAAGAAGCTGTTCGAGTGGAACTTACATCTTACCAATGGAATACACATGGAATGAAGATGGATCGTTACAAGGTGCGTGAAGGTTACTAGTGAAGATTGTAACTGGTAGAACTAAGTAATTTGATTCGCCTGAGCAGTTTCCCTGGAAATAACGATAGAGAAGCGAGAGGCTTGCAATGTTTCATATTTGAGAAACTCTGGTGAGAACGGTTTGTAACACTATCGAAACTGGAATGTGAAAACTAGGCAGCTCCTGCCCATACATGTCAACAATATTCCATTTTCGACCTAATGTGATTCCTGTAAACATAGAGAATAACAAGAGATTTTTAAAAAAAAGTAAAAAAAAAGACCCGTATGTGTAGCAGCAGCGTATTGAGGTTCATATAACAAACGTTTAATATTATTTTCATTTTCACCAATTTCAGGCTAGTTTCCTTTTATCCAAACGCTTGTTTTGCAAAAATTTCCATAGCTTCTAAGGATAATTTTAAAATTTTAAAATATTAGGTTGGTGCAAAAATAATGACGTAAGAATGTCGTTTATTGACGTTTTTTAACGTCAAAAAACGACATTATTACGTCATTATTTTTGCACCAACCTAATAATTGAAAGAGCATTCGCCCCTTTTGATTTTTTTTTAATAACAAACATCACAACGGAATGCAGATTTTATGGCAGTCACAATAAATTTTCTTTGTAATTTCCGTCTGAAGATGCCTTTCTATTCTCTCACCTTCTTCCGGTGATATTAACTTTAATTTCGAACCAAACATAGAATAGTCAATCTGCATGTTGATTATTCTAGGTTCGGTACGATGATTTTGCCATAGTATGTATTTTGCACAAAGGAAATGTAATTCTAAGTGAAACACATAACAATTTGAAATTCCATGACGAATCCGATACAATAATTCAGTCAAATTCATATTATTGAAGGAAATCTTTAAGATGTTATCCGTAGTGTAGCGGTTATCGGCGCGCATGTTGTATCAGACGGTTTCAAATTCCGTGCTTTTGTGTTCTCTTCACCTTTACACTAATACATACGGGAAATGCATGAATCTCTTTCTTCTCCCCGGGATTATATGTTGTGTAGAGTAATTGGCCATGGTTAAATGTAACTGGCAGAAATGCTCAATAAACGGAAAATAACCAAGCAAAAGACATAATATTGAGCAAAGAATTTATACAAGTCAAAACAACAGAAATAAGGCAAAGCAACAGTAATAAGGCAAAAGTTCACGAACTAAGAATTAGGTTTACACCCAAAAGGGATACAGACAAAAGATCGAACGTTCTAACTTCATGACAAGAAAGAACTGAACCAAGTCGGATGAGACCGAGAAGGAATCCTTTCAGGAATTTCTATTTTTCTATAAATTTGGGGAGATGGAAGTTTTTGCAGTCATTCATACACTGACTGGAACAAACAGGTTGAATAACAACCTATACCGGTTTTTCTATCCGTGGTTGGCAACCAGTCTAAGAGAAGGATAAACTTACATTCCAAACCGAGGTATAGTTCTCATTCTAGCTGACATTTAGAAAATAGCGGGAATTCTACTCTTTTTCCCGCTCTGATCTTTCCATAAGCTAAAAACCGTTTGATGTAACTCTCTTTGATCGACCGAAATATATGGCCTCTGCTTTAAAACATACATGGATAATAAATAATCCTCGCAAATCAATGACGATATATGATCTGCTTAAAAGTAGGAAAGAGGTCAATTATAAATGTAATGTAGAAAACAAACTAACACTGATGTTTCCAAAGAGAACAAAGCTTTTGTTTGATATCCACTGAAACTTATTCCGTTTCAAATGGCTGGTCAGAATTGGACTACTTGTCAAATGTACACGGATTTGAAATGCGTTTCATAAAACAGATGGTTGCTTTCTTTTTCAGAGCTGTATATTTGACGAGTGTGGATTTGATTATAAATTGTCCAGTTGATTTGCTATTTGGTGACGAATTCTTGATATTTCTGTTATTGGAAGACGATGTCAGTATTTTTTTTTTTGTGACGCCATTTTTTTATTACACTTTTTAATCTTCCCAGTTATATATTGTTATTATCATTATGCCTACTTACATGACTACTACTACTACTACTACTACTACTACTACTAATAATAATAATAATAATAATGATGATGATGATGATGATAATAATAATAATAATAATAATAATAAATTGTTGATTACATCAACGTGCCTAGTCATTATTGGGAAAGAATACTGATGTGGACCCAAAGTTGGGACCACGGAAGGAAAACATGGAACATGGATTAGAGATAAGAAAGATATATTAAACAAAAAGGTTACAAAGATAGTGTAAGTGTAAGCGGAGCTTACTATGTGCTAGTATCCAATATTGGTAGTCGTAGGCGGCTGATACTACGGTATTAGAATACTCTCTCTCTCTCTCTCTCTCTCTCTCTCTTTCCTCCTCTTCTTTTAGAGTATTATATCGCATACTTTATATAGTCCTGGAAGAGTCCATGTTGTAGGTATGTTACGGTCTCACAACAAATACATTATTAAACTACAGGCTAGAACAATATATTCATTGGCATATCTGTTCGAACTATTGTTTCGAAGTACTAGATACATAGTAAAAAAAAACACCCCAATAGTGTCAAAAATGGTGATAGAGTGACTATATTGTGTAATTTCTCAATCCTTACAGGCAAGAAAATCGATGCAATAGACGAGATATAGTCCTAAATTATTGATATGACTTGCCCACAGAATCCCAATGTTTCTAAAACAAAACAAATTTCAAAAACTGTCATTTTATAAGTACCTTCAAATCGAAATAACGAAAACGGGGTAACTCAGAACAACGATTATCCCTGTTGTGGTAGGAGCATTGTTTATGATAAAGAAAGGTACCGAAAATCACGTGAGTAAAATCCATGGAAACATCTGCATCTCAGAGCTATTAAAGATTACTTTGTGCCGAACTTCACATATTATCCGCAAAACCCTCTCCATCTAAACAAAAGGTCTTAAATGTACTTAGATAATGCTTCAACAGGGTCCCTTTTATTGATAGACCCCGGATGGGGATTTGATAATTAGACACTTCTGTCAAGATGACACCACACAATAATAATAATAATAATAACACCAGCCAGAACCGGTTACGGAGATAGGACCTGTTACAATTCTATGGGACTACACAATACACACTGACAGAACAATGAAGGCCAACCGGCCAGATATTCTTATTAAAGACCACAAACAAAAATGATGCCTCCTTATTGATATGGCAGTCCCTGCTGACTGCAATGTATCTTTGAAGATATTCAAAAAGTTGTCAAAATACAAGGACCTTGAAAGAGAAATCTCGAAAATGTGGCATATGGGAACATCAACAATTCCTGTTGTAGTTGGAGCCCTAGGACTGGTTGGAAAAGATTGCAGTAGACTAATTGAAGGGATTCCTGGAACGCCATGCCTCAAGGAGATACAAAAAATTGTTCTGACAAGTACAGCCCACACCTTACGAAGGGCTTTATCTATGTAATTTAATTCTTTTTTTTTTTTTTTTGTCAGTGGAAAGTGTCATGACGCCATTTCTAACCTAAGGTCCCTGGGCGGGACCCGAAAAGAAATGTGTAAACGCCAGAAATCAAAGAAAATAAAAACAATAATAATAATGTGCTTTTTTATTGATATGGCAGTTCCGGAAAACTGTCCTGCATCTTTTGAAGATATTCAAAAACTGCAAAAATACAAGGATCTTGATGTTGAGTTGTGGCACATCAACAGTCTCATTTGTAGTTTGGACCCTCGGTTTGATTGAAAAAGGTTTCGATATTGTCATTGAAGGGATTCCTGGTAGTTCATACCTTAAAGAATTACAAAACATTGTACAGCTGCAGCATACACCTTTCGTAGAGCGTTATCTATGTAAAATGTGTGTGGTATTAGGTGGGATTTTTTGTTATTATTATTCACCATTGTAATTATTATTAAGTTATGATCCAGGTTAGGACCGAAGAGGAACAACACGAACACAAGAGTAGAAATAACGAAGGTATATTACACGAAATAATAATACAAGATGTGGAAGGTGTTAGTATGACTGTCAGTCTGGTTTGGAGTGAACAACTATCGGATCGATTCGTCCCTCTCTCTTGAGAGGCATAGTATACATAGTGTTAGGAAGAGTTTATTCTGTAGTTATAGGTAAGGACTCATGACACTATCTATCTATCTATCTATCTATCTATCTATCTATCTATCTATCTATCTATCTATCTATCTATCTATCTATCTGTTATGGTCCAGGTTAGGACCAAGGAAGAACAACACGAACACAAGAGTAGAAATAACGAAAGTATATTACACGAAATAATAATACAAGATGTAGAAGGTGTTAGTATGACTGTCAGTCTGGTTTGGAGTGAACTACTATCGGCTCGACTCGATTCGTCCCTCTCTCTTGAGAGGCGTAGTATACATAGTGTTAGGAAGAGTTCATTCTGTAGTTATAGGTAAGGACTCATGACACTATCTATCTATCTATCTATCTATCTATCTATCTATCTATCTATCTATTATGGTCCAGGTTAGGACCAAGGAAGAACAACACGAACACAAGAGTAGAAATAACGAAGGTATATTACACGAAATAATAATACAAGATGTGGAAGGTGTTAGTATGACTATCAGTCTGGTTTGGAGTGAACTATTATCGGCTCGACTCGATTCGTCCCTCCTCTCTTCAGAGGCGTAGTATTAGGAAGAGTTCATTCTATAGTTATAGGTAAGGATCCATGACAATTAAGGATTATGATTGAGAGTGAGAGCCACTCAAATATGATTCAAACTATTCCTTTTGATTAAAATTGATTTTTCGCCTGTTGGATGGGATTAAGAATACGCTAGTTGCAAACTCAAGCAGCGGGTGCCGGGAAACTCCCACGACTAAATTTAGGTTCCCTAGCTGATCGAAACTCCTTAAAACCGCGCCTATATCTAACCTCGTTTACTTTCGTTCAAACAAGACCTGTATCTACCTGTTTGACACGCGTGCAAACTGGACCAATATTTGCCTTTTTTTTACCTTTGTGTAAACAGGACCTATGTCTAGATTTTTGTCTCATGCAGACCGTATCTATATCTACTTTTTTTTAACTATTGTTCGATCCCAACTGTTGTCTACCTTTTTTGATTTCGTTCAAACCAGATCTATATCTACATTTTATTTTTTACTCTCTTTCATTTCGGACGTATATCCGATCTTTATAAAAAACGACAGAATTCAGTCTATATCTCTGAGATGAGGTATTATGATTATTTACATTATTCGGACTGTTATCCTCAACACAAGAAAATGAATACCAAACAAAGGGCATGTTATTAACATAAGGAAATACACGTGTTCACAATTGTAATAAAAGGAAAAATATCAAAACTGGTTGTAAGAGTGTGCTTGCATATAAGAAGTATGTATGATAGACACGTGTGTATATGCATGTGTGAGAGAGTTCAAAAGTCAACAGAGAAACAAGGTAGCAAATGCAACCTGTCAGCAGCATTTATTTTTATGTCTTTGTTATTTCCCTTTAAATCAATTCTCCAAGTTTTTTTGGTTTACCACATCTGTAGCCTGGTATTGAACTCACAACACTTTGGGTTTAGTCACTGGATCTAACCAACGTCTTTATCCACTGGGCCATGTGTAAATCTGCGGGAAAGACGATGGTTGGATCCAGAGACTAGACTCAAAGAGTTGTGAGTTCAATACCAGGCTACATTTGACTCACCTTAGGACATATTAAAATCTTAATCTACTTAAAGAGCGTGTGATAATTGATGGCAGAACAGGGTTTAGGAAAGACAAAGGCAAAGACAATATTTGCTAAAAGGTACAAAGGAAAAGTCATTGTGGAGATTAGTGATCGCCAAAGTCCTGAATAGACACGGCATATAGAAGAAGAATATTTTGTGTTGTAATAGACGACGGAAAATGTGACACAGGAACCTGAACACGCATCGGAACAGTGTAAGATGCCTTCCAGAAAATAAGCAATGTATTAAGAAATTGAGAAAATTAGTTTCGAATTAAAGAAGAATGTAGAAGTGTCATATTATATCTAATCTCCAATATAGCTGTGATTCCTGGACAATTTTCTTAGCGTTGAGGAAGTGATTCGAAAATCTCGTCTTGAAGGCAGATATCGAAAAAAACCGTGGATCGGAAATTAAAAAGAACTAGAAGGACACTTGAAATTAACATCAGGAAAGAAGGTTTGGTAAATTTAACACTCACAAGATATATTACAGATAAGAAAACGAACGGAAAACATATAGTAACCGTTTATAATGAGTTTTTTTTGCGAATCCAAATAAAGGGACACGGAGCGATGGTAAAAAGATGGTAAACATTAGGATCAGAATACTGTGAAGAGCCATAACTGCCCGCGTACTGAAAGAACGTGGCACATAAAAGAAAATTCCTTCACCCAATCGACGAAAGTAAACTGTTGAAGTTCCGCTAAGTGTAGCGATAAAGTGGAAAATTTAGTCCTTGGTGCCTGCGAAAAGAACATAATGTCAAAAAGACGGTTCTTCTGTTGACACTGCTATTATTTTAACTACCTTAACTCCTCAGCGGTGTTTAAAAAAAAAAAAAAACGATTATTAGAAAAGCTTGAACATATGCTTTAAACATGGCATAAAGCGGAAAGTATGGGACACCCAGTGAGGGTCGAAGTCACTACTCAATTATAATTGTTCCAGCGAGATAAACTTGCTAACTATTACACAACGACGAAACACCTCAATATGGTCGAAACATATAAAAGTGAACATATGACTTTGATTTCTTCTTGAGAATTAACAAGGAAAAAAATATTAAACACTATTTATTTATTAAATTGTTTATTGGAATGGTTATCAAAACATCGGCTTGGGCAATGAATTCGAACTTTATAAAATGGTAAATAATAATATCGATTTCATTATAGTTCATTCACATATTTTAATAATTTAATAAATGTTTATAGAATTATGACAAGAAAATTATTTTCATATTTATTTCTTTATAAAATTTTAAATGATAAATGTTGCATTGCTTTAGTTTTAATTTTTATTAATTTTCAGAAAGTTGTAAATATCAATTTATTCTCCTAAATAAACAATTTAATAAATAAATACATGCTTAATGTTAGTCAGTCAGTTACGTGGCATGCGTGATATACGCTTACTACAGGAAAAAAATCTGCCTAGTTATCATGTATCGAAAGATACATGATCGCCTAAGCGTGTATCACACACGACACATGAAGTTAAAAAAAAAATAACGGATTTTAAGTTTAACCGAAAAAGTAAATATTGCTTAAAAGTAATATAATAATTTAATATAAATTGCGATTATTATTTATTTTATTTTATTTACTATATGCATTATGATTATTCATGTCTATTTAAAGTTATATATGTATTGATTAGAATTAATATTTCCAAAGTTATCAGATTTTACTGTATTAGGATCTGTCTGTATTTCTGAGATGATGTATTATGTACACTATTTACATTATTCGGACTATTGTCCTCATATTTGTCGCCATGTTTAGTACAACGTTTCGGCCGTTGTACGCTCCGGCATTTTTCCATTGTGCCATATGTCGCCAAGGGCACATGGCACAGTGGATAAAGGCGTTAGTTAAACCCAATGACAGGACCTAAAGAGTGTGAGTTCAATACCTGGTTAAAGCAATGGAGATCTTTCAGAGGGGAATTAACAGGAGATAACTGACATCCATTAGACATGGCAGGTGGAACTAGAACAGTCTACCCCCGTGAGCGAAATAAAGGGTTCAGTTCGACATTCCAACTACCTGAAGAAGGCCGGAGTGTACAACGGCCGAAACGTTCTGATAAACATGGCGACAAATATGAGGACAATTGTCCGATTAATATAAATAGTTTTACTCTATTGATTCGTTCGTTTTTGTATAATTAACCTGAAGATCGTTTAACTTATTTTTACTTTCTATATTTGCTTATATAAATTTATGTTTATTAACTTTGTACTTTCTGCTCTCGTAATTTTTTTTTTATCAGTTGATAGGTTAAGTGTTAATACTGTCAAATATCAAGTATAAATTAATTTAGTGTATGTTATAATCAATGACAATATCATCTCCGAGTTTTTTTGGTTTTTTTTTGTTTTTTTAAGCATTACGCCCCGAGCAAGAAAGGGTGAGGAGAAGGACAGTGGATAGATCAACGTAACTTGAGATGTCGATTGACATTACATTTGAATAGTTGGAGATTATAGCTCTCAGGGAAACTGGAATAGGGAAGGGTGTTCCACAGGTGAGAAGTGCGAGATATGAAGCTATTGGAGTAGAAGAGACGGCTACATTTAAAAGTTTCTACAGTGAAAAAGGTGAGAGTGGGATGCCAGCCTCATAGGGCGCTTGAATTCATGAAGTCTGGGAACCAGTGAAAGCAACTCATCGGAGCAATTACCATGAAAGTATTTGTAAAAAAGACAGAGAGAGGCGACGGCGCGTCTGTGAGTGAGTAACTGTAGACGAGATGCCAGATCAGGGCCAATTATATTACATATCCGCCTTTGGATCTTGTCAAGAACTCCGAGGTAAATAGAAGGTGCACCAGACCATATATGGCAGCAATACTCCATGCAAGGGCGAATGGTTGATTTGTATATTTGAAGGATCGATTCCCGGGAGAAAAATTTCCTGGCGCGGCACAGAGAGCCAACTTTCCTTAAAGGAATAAATTAAGGTTTTTTATATACGACTATTTCGTAATTTTTCTTGCTTTCTAGCTTTTTGTTTACCTGAAGTTTTATATCTATTTTTTTTTTTAGAGTTTTAAACACGTAACGCCTATAATGTTTATATGCGTACGTTATATATGTACCAAAGTAGTCATAGGAGTGCATTGTAGTAGGTAAAAGCTCCCACTGCCTATAAAATGATTCCGTGAGCACTAGGAGCAGCTCCAAGTCGGAGAAGAGCCGAAAGCTACCAACTGGCGCCTCATACCCAGCTGCAAGCCTATCCTGGAAAGAAAAGCCTGATTTTAAACCCTGCTGCTTTACAATTGTGTCCAATCACTGAAGAGGCTCTAGAAAAAAAATCCAGACAGAAAACCTGGAGTGGAACCCGGTACTATATTTATTTGGAGAATTTTGGTACCGCCGAGCATGCATACTTTATGTTGTGGCCTTGTTAGGACCAGAAATAAAGACACAAAGAGAGGAATTCCGCTAAACAAACATATTAACAGAAACTTAATACAAACATATACAAACAAGAGTGTTACAGCAAGAATGTTCGGTCCGACTTTCTGAGCTGACTACTGGAAACTTTCCTCTCCAAAAGGCAGTACCTGCTCCTATTTATAACTGGGGAAGTCCATGCGTGCGTGAGCAACTAGCCATAACATTCTGTGGGCAGCGCACATGCTCTATATAACACTTTTAAAAAATTACTTAAACTTTATTTTTAGTGGATATTAGCATTTGAGTAAGGCTCCGTTAATTTATTAAGAAGTATATTTATTTATTTTCTTTTACCGGCCTGAATA